AGCTGGAAAATTGTCAATGAACACAAGGAACCAAATCGCCGACTGATTTTTTTTTGAGAACCTATCAGCTTTCGACGAAATACATTTCTTTCTTTTTTTGACAGTTTATCTTTTTGTTGACAATTTATCAACTTTCAAGGAAAAAGTTAAAACTCCTTGAATCTTTTTTATAGGAACTTCTATCCAAATGAACACAATTAGAGAAACAGGATCAATGTTATTTCAAATCATCATTCGAAATCTGGGAAACCTTTGAAGTAAAATTGCCTTTTGAAACAAAGTCTAAAGCACCAATTTTCACAGCATTCTAAAACTTGTAATCGGAGAGCATTTTTTCTCTATTCAGCAAATAAACAGGACCAGTGCAACAAAAAAACTTTCAAAAAAAATTAGCAATGAGCAACTACTGAAAATTATCAATCTTCGAAGAAAACGCCAATAACGTAAGCTCTTTGAAATCAGTAAACGACTGAGTTTTTCGTCAATCAAACCCAATTAGAGAAAAATGGGTCGATAGATAATTTTCTTCGGCTGGGTAACCTTAAGGCTACAATCCACTCCAGAACTTAGAAGTGAGACGATTTATCGCGCCATTAGCATTTCGTAATTGGAGAGCGTAACCTGTCTTCAATTTAGCAAATGAATTTAATTTCAACTTAAATTGAAATCAAAAAGGCAAACCATGAAAAGAATCGAATCTGAGCGTGAAAACTCTAAAGACTTTTTCAGGAAAAAAAAACACGCCAGAAATAAATGTCTTTACTTAGTTACTTGACACTCAATAAATTCAAAGTCAAATTAAAGCGCGAATAAATGACCAATTCACCTGAAAAAAAATATACGGCTTTAACTCAAAGATAACTTTCTAAAAAACTTGATCTCGGAGAAGCGATGATACATTCGCAAAAAGAAGCCAAAAACGTCCAATTAGTTTTCAAAGCGCCAAAAAATCATGCCTTATAAAAAAAACTTAAGAACAATTGAAATTTGACTCTGGTACGGAAACTATTGGGACCCGCATTCGGCAAATTGATGAGTTCCCAATTTTAAACTACCAAAACTGTACGAAATCATTACAAATCTAACATCTTTTTACAAGCCGAGAGCGCCAATATGTCAAAAAAGGCTACAAAAATGCCTCCCATAAAACATGATTTCGACAAAAATTTACCACGAAACTTGCAAATACGGTTGGAATAAACTGAACGGATAATACTTCGCTTGCAAGCTCACGTGTGCAAAAACAACATGGGAAATCTCTTCACTCAAAAATTTAGCCCACCATTTTTTGCAACACTTTTTGACCTGAGTTTTATCCGACCCTGCACGTAATCATTGAATTAATCTCTCTCAGAATTCATTCGAAATTGAAAAAAATGCAATCTACAAAAAGTCACAGTATAACGTTATTGAGATGAATTAAAATGAAAACTTGGATGTTTTGTTAAGTTTTCAAACTTATTTAAAGGGAAAATTTATCATGTTTGAGTCAAGTAAATTATTCCAATATGATTGACCTCAATACAATTATCGCAAATTTTTTCGTCTCATAAGTCTACATCACAAAGCTTGTCGGTGATATATGACAATAGGTAGTAGGTTCAATTTAAATAGCTGGATCGCTTTTTGTTAGACCTCGAACACTATGTCAAAGGTTGGCAAAAGTGTAAAATTTTAGTTTTTGAATAGCATTTCATCTGGCAGAGTAAAGTATTAAAAAAAACTAGCTTAATAGTAGTACAATTGAAATGATTATGTTGTAAATGACTATATAGTAAAATGAAATGACTATACAACGCAATATATAGTCATTTTTCGGCTAATTAACCTTAAGGCTACAATCCACCCCAGAACTTAGAAGTGAGACGATTCATCGCGCCATTTGCATTTCGTAATTGGAGAGCGTGACCTTTCTTCAATTTTGCAAATGAAAATGATTTCAACTTAAATTGAAATCAAAAAGGCAAACCATGAAAAGAATCGAATCTGAACGTGAAAATTCTCAAGACTTTTTCAGGAAAAAAAAACACGCCAGAAATAAGTGTCTTTACTTAGTTACTTGACACTCAATAAATTCAAAGTCAAATTAAAGCGCGAATAAATAACCAATTCACCAGAAAAAAACTATACGGCTTTAACTCAAAGATAACTTTCTAAAAAACTTGATCTCGGAGAGGCGATGATACATTCGCAAAAAGAAGCCAAAAACGTCCAATTAGTTTTCAAAGCGCCAAAAACTCATGCTTTATAAAAAAACTTAAGAACAATTGAAATTTGACTCTGGTACGGAAACTATTGGGACGCGCATTCGGCATATTGATCAGTTCCCAATTTTAAACTACCAAAACTGTACGAAATCATTACAAGCCTAACATCTTTTTACAAGCCGAGAGCGCCCATATGTCAAAAAGGCTACAAAAATGCCTCCCATAAAACATGATTTCGACAAAAATTTACCACGAAACTTGCAAATACGGTTGGAATAAACTGAACAGATAATACTTCGCTTGCAAGCTCACGTGTGCAAAAACAAGATGGGGAATCTCTTCACTCAAAAATTTAGCCCATCATTTTTCGCAACACTTTTTGACCTGAGTTTTATCCGACCCTGCACGTAATCATTGAATTAATCTCTCTCAGAATTCATTCGAAATTGAAAAAAATGCAATCTACAAAAAGTCACAGTTAAACGTTATTGAGATGAATTAAAATGAAAACTTGGATGTTTTGTTAAGTTTTCAAACTTATTTAAAGGGAAAATTTATCATGTTTGAGTAAAGTAAATTATTCCAATATGATTGACCTCAATACAATTATCGCAAATTTTTCGTCTCATAAGTCTACATCACAAAGCTTGTCGGTGATATATGACAATAGGTAGTAGGTTCAATTTAAATAGCTGGATCGCTTTTTGTTAGACCTCGAACACTATGTCAAAGGTTGGCAAAAGTGTAAAATTTTAGTTTTTGAATAGCATTTCATCTGGCAGAGTAAAGTATTAACAAAACTAGCTTAATAGTAGTACAATTGAAATGATTATGTTGTAAATGACTATATAGTAAAATGAAATGACTATACAATGCAGTATAGTTCTCAAATTTAGTACAAGCACTATAAGCAAAATTATTACCTATTGTAACCTATCACCAACTAGTCACATGCAAAACATGCGCTGGAAAAAAAAACATAGTTCTCGGCTTGTGTAATAAATCAAATCAATATGATAACTAGAAACAAAGAAAACCTGCTATTATTGCTGGTATACCCCGAAGTTTTGCACTGCTCTTGATTGTTTAAAAAAATTCCAGTTCGGCAAATTTGAGATAAATAAGAGGGAAATTTTCAACTTTCTATTGACGCTTAGTGTATGCGGCGAAATAAAAAGGCTTAGACATCATTCCAAATTAAATATAATTAAGCTAAAAGCTTCAAATATTGCACTACTAGGCGCGTATTATATCATTTTTTTTACTTGACATTATAATTTTCAAAACTCAAATTTCTCAGGCAAGAGGTAAAATTTCTTTTACAAAATTTTAACGAATGAATGTCCGAGCAGTCTTATTTATTGCAAATTAACAGAAGTTTAAAACTTGACCAGTTACGTCCATTTTTCTATAGTGCCTAATGAGTTAGCGGCCATGTAGCGGCACCTCCAGAAGTAACAGAAGCCATCTAATTGTTCCCAATTATTGTTCAGACTTTAGAAAAAAGTGCCGTAATTTTTGTGTTGTACTGGTTTTTATTTCTGCAGTCAAATTTCGATTTTTTAAAACTTAATCTTTAGTCGATCAATGTCCTGGGCTCGAATTCAAACAACTATTTCACCTATTCGAAAAAAAACGAAATTAATGCTCGATATATTTCGATTTATTAATGGGTGAGAGACAATTTAATCCGACTCAGAAATCATTCAAAATCGTTTTTATTCTATTTGCTTAATTATGACTTGATATAACAACGAGAAAGTAAATCTTCGTATTATTATTTGAGGCGAGCTATTTAGCCATATTAAAACGATACTATTTTTGTCTGAGTGTGGGGTTTACGTTATAAGGGGGCTCAAAAAAACAAAATAGCTTTTTAATAGACGTTAAAGGGCAGTTAGAATATTCAGACATTCAGAATTTAGCCCTGGCACGAGTAATCCTCATTGTTTCCAACAAAGACTGAGACAAATGATGGGGTTGTCAAAACATTCATGGCTTCGTTTTGATACGAGCTGTTCGAATATAAAGCTCCATACATTTTCGTTATTAACTTTTTTTCTGTTAATTATTACAACCGAACATGCGCGTGATAAAAACTACTATTGCACAATAGCCCTTGCGGCCCGCTAGTTCGAACCGATGAAAAATTAAGAAGCTTTAACAAAAAAACATTGTTCAAAATAGACTTCAGCTCAAAATTACAATATATTTTTGATTAAAGGCAATTCAATCTTGTTTTTAAGCGCTGTTAATAAAAGCACGGCATGCCACATTACTTAACATGAAGAGATGAACAAAATCAGTTGCAGTGCCTATGGATTACATTGTTTTCTGCAATGCAATTCTAGTATTGCACTTCCAAGCAATTTACTCATAGGAATGCGTCAGCCACAAGTCAGTAACATATTGTTATGCCTAGATTTTAAAGGAACTATTTTGCATCATTTACTAAAGCTCAAGAAATACACAATCTCATTATATATTGTGGAAACAGTAAGTAAAAAGGATGATATATTTGACGCAAATCCGCATCTGAGCTGTGTTCATGTTCATTTGCTACTATCAAAGTAACACGTAGTTACTGTGGAAATTTCCTTTTGTGCTTCCTGTAACTATTCGGAGCAACAGTTGAAAAGCTCCTATTTTTTGAAAATAACATTGAAACTAATTGGACAGATTTAACCACAGAACGAAACCAGAAACCATGATTGAAAAAATCTGAACATTTATCGGAATAGTAATGGAACCGTAATTCCTTGCTGAAGGCCTTCGGAGGTAAACTGCACTGACCTGAGTAAGGTCAATAAACTGTATCTCGGAACTGCCGATTGATCGTCTTTGAACAGGAGAAGAGGGGGGCATTGTCCTTTCCACAGATTCTCCTACCTCTTGTCTGTTCGGGTCTTCAACAGGTCTCCGCCTCTCTCCGTTTAGAGATAGAAACTCAATTTCCAAAAACAAACATGCTATCTGAAAACTAAAATAGTTAAAGTGTATTTAAAATGAGCAACAAGAGATCAGCAAGTGGACAAAATGCGAAGTTCATTTCGATTGTAAACAATAATCTCTCTAAAGGTAAATAACAAGCGGTAACTCAAAAGGAGAGAAGCTTGATTGAAAGGAACAAACAAAGTGTCAAGAATGAATAGAACATTACAAGATAAGGACAAAAGCCTCTTGGAGGTATTTGCCCACTAAAGACATAGTCCACTAGATAGCTTTTTCGATCAATTCAATTAAGCCTCAAATAATAATATGTCTTTAAAACATTTTTATAATGGCAATGAAGAAGAAATATTTCAAAATAATAAGCCTTATTGAAACCAAAACAAATCCTTCAAAACCATCCAAGCAATAAAGTTTTCAAAATTTTGCGGTGCCATAAATGGACAATACTTTAGAGCTAAAGCATACGCGCTCCAAAAGATGTATGAAACAAAAACCTACACAGAGGCGAAGTTGTACTTCACAAACACAAGCAAAAAAAATGACCGACAACGCTACTGGGAAAAACTGAATGAGTAAAACTTTGAGTCTACTAAATTTTTTAAGTGAAGCACGCCAAATATGAATCTCCATAACTCCTAAGTGACGCAAGCCAATTGATGCATTAACAGTACCAGTCAATTTAAAAAGAAATTTACCAAATAACATGCCTCAATTTATAGAGAGGACGCATTTCAACTGATATACGAAAAAGTTCATTAAAAACATCCGACCGTGCCCAGGTTCGAACCCTCTCATTTTGCTGCTGGTCTCCTTTCCTACCTCTACGCTACAGAACCATGATACCTTGAAGCTAAAGTGCTATTTGTAATATAATAGTCTGTGTTAATATCCTTAGCATTGGCTGTACTTAATAGCTGGATAATAATGAACACTTTCAAAATGAACACATTTTGTCGCAACAATTGCATCGCAACAATATTTGCGACTTTGTTTGGGAAAAAAGAAAGCTCATACTATAACATGCTTGCTATGCTTGTGTAAAAATGAACTTGGAAGCTTCGGGTCAACTGTTTATATGGATGAAAAGATGTACAGGAACAGTCGTATAAACATTTTCAGAAATTTGAATTCAGTGGGGGCGGCGCGTTCAACAGTGCCGAAAAAGGCTGGAAAGTTTCAGAAAAGCTTAAACGCATTTTCCAAAAGCGGGAAAAAACTGACGCTAATTAACAAAGAAAATCATTTCAATTTTGGCACCAAAATTTTTGCAACTGCAAATTAAACAATTATTTTGGCGGCAAAGTCTAGCTGGCAAATTTTCTGATTCAAAATTCTAAAAAGTTTTCACTTGAGATTGTAATTGAAAGCCGTTTAATTTATCTTGCCTCACTTAATATGTTCAAATTTGTTCCTTCAAAAAAACTGGTTCCCAAAATTTAGAAATTGCGGGCTATCGTTTCGGGAAAAATTTTTTTACATTTGTGTAGAGAAAAATTGTCAGGCAACAACCGTCTTTGATTTTAATTTGAGCAAGTTTACTCTTTGTCCAGCTATTCACAACCATCCCGCGGTCGACGATTAGCTAAAATCTGCGAAAATTTGCCTAAAAATTTGGTCAGCTGTCGAACATGAGCCCTTAAAAAACATGTCCGAAATTTATGAAGATGTGGTCCAAAAAATTCTTGAAATTGACCAAAATCCCCTACAAAACTTTCGGCACATTCGAAATTTTTTACAATTTCATACCTGAGATACCGCAAAAGTGTCAGATATAATTTAGTTCAGTTGTTGAGGCAAAACTTTATCCGGAAAGCAGTTTCTTCTGAAAAAAAAGTAGAATTTGAGGCAGTTGTCATGTCAACCAGATTTTTATTGAAAATCATGCTGAATGCGATACAGGTTCAGCCGATAGAACTTTCAAAACTGCGCCAGAGTCATTCATTCAGATTTATACGAGTCTTGGATGATTTGAAAACCAAAAAAATTCCTGTGGTTCTAGCATTCCTTTCAAACAAGTCCAAAGAATCTTACAAATTCTTATTGAGTGTTCTTGCACTGAAATGCGAAAAAACTGTAAAACGATTCTCACCAATTTTTTCGAATGATTACAAAAGAAACTTACTGCAGCAGTTCCCGATTTTTTACCCGAAGCTCAGCATTTGGGCTGTCATTTCCATTACTGTCTGGCTGTTTTCAAATAATTCCAAAATTTTCAACTAGCAACTGAGTATCGGCAGGACCAAAAAACTCGTGAATTAAATCAGAGATTGTTTACATTGCCTTATTTGCCTATCAGATTAGTCAGAAAAAACTACATGCGAATCAAGTACGATGTGGAAAACCTTTTTATGATCCGAGTTTTATGACGGATTTGCAAAATTTTTTGTGTATTTCGGAAAAAACCTGGCTCAATGGACAGTATCCATTAAAAACGTGGAGCTTGTATGAAAGACCAGCTTCACTCACCACCAAAAACAGTTGTGAAAATTGGCACAATATCTGGAACAAAAAAATTGTGCAATTCCATCCAAATTTTTGGGTTTTGATCCAAAAACTGAAGCGAGAAGAAAAAATGTCGAAACTTGCCTTGAAATATTTTCCCAATGGAGATATTCCACTTCAAGTCTGCTTCATTGTTTAAATGAAAAATTTTCGAATTTGCGGCCTTCACATAGTGGCGTCTCTGAGAAAGCGCTACCATTTTGCACTGGTCCTTTTACCGCTTTCAAATCAACTTTTATTGCAGTTAACAATTGATTACCGGAAATTGACCGAAACATTGTTCCAAACTTTCGGAATATTCGAAATTTTTTATTCTTTTATCGCCCAAAGTAGCTAATTGGGATACCGCAAAACAGTGTCAGAGATAATTTTTTTTGACTGTTGGGGCAAAACCTAATCCGAAAAGCAGTTTCTTCTCGAAAAAAAAACGTAAATTTGAGGCAGTTGTCATGGCAACCAGATTTTTTTTGAAAGTCTTGCTGAATGGGATACAGGTTCAGCCGATGGAACTTTCAAAACAGCGCCAGAGGCACTTACTCAGATTTATACGAGTTTTGGATGATTTGAAAACCAGAAAAATTCCTTTGGTTTTAGCATTCCTTCCAAACAAGACCAAAGAATCTTACAAAATTTCATTAAGTGTTCTTGCACTGAATTGCGAAAAATTGGAAAACGATTCTCGCCAAATTTTTTTGACTGACTACCGAAAAGGATTTACCGCAGCAGTTCCCGACTTTTTACCCGAAGCTCAGCATTTGGGTTGTCATTTCCAATACTGTCTGGCTGTTTTCATAAGATTCCAAAAACTTCATCTAGCAACTGAGTATCGGCAAGACCAAAAAATTCGCAAAAAAAATCAATGATTGTTTACACTGCCTTATTTGCCTATCGGATTGGTCAGAACAAACTACACGCGAATCAAGTACGATGGGAAAAACCTTTTTATGATCCGAATTGACGAAGGATTTTCAAAACTTTTTTGATTTTTTCGGAAAAACTTGGCTCAATCGACAATATCTATTAAAAGTGTGGAGCTTGTATGAAAGACCAGCTTCACTCACTTCCACAAACAGTTGTGAAAATTGGCACAATTATAAGAATAAAAAAATTGTTCAATTCCATTCAAATCTTTGGGTTTTGATCAGAAAACTGAAGCGAGAAGAAAAAATGTCAAAACTTGCCTTGAAATATTTTCCTAATGGGGATATTCCACTTCAAAACTGCTCCGAGGTTTAGATAAAAAATTTCGAATTTGTGGCCTTCACATGGTAGCGTCTCTAGAAAAGCGCTATCAATTTGCACTGGTCCTTTTACGGGTTTCAAACCAAATTTTATTGCAGTTAAAATTTGGTTACCGAGGATTAAATTTTTCAATACTGTCTACCAACAAAAAAGAGGTTTCAATTTTCGATATTTCAAATCTCTCAACTAAAAGACTTGATTCTGCGTACCCTATTATATCGTCAGCGGCCAGTAAAATGGTAAGCAATTAAGCCTTTATCTAAATTTTGAACAGTTTGGCGGTCAACTTCCTGGCTATTAAAGTCAGCTAACCCAAACCAGCGCTTTCTTTCTACGACTTCATACAAAGAGCTCAAACGGTCGCTTTTCTCGATTTCTAATAAAGCAGGTGAAAAAAGCATTTTACCTTCAATACTGAATCAGAAAGATCAGAACTCTCTAGGCCTTTAATTAGCAAAATAAAAACAATTCATTAGATGAATTCAAATGATTTGATACGCTATTAATGCAAAATTTGATACGCCATCTAGAGCAAAAACAAAAAAAGTTAGAGCGCAGTAAAAAGAGAGATCAAATAAAGAAGGTAAGCAATCATAAAAGCTCGCAAAGCAGTTGATGTTGGGACAATTCTTTGCTTCGGTTGTATGAAGTGATATCCATTGCCTTGAAAATCATTTCAAAATGCAAATTGATTTTAAAGTTTGTTAACAAACTCAAGAGTAACAATTTTTAGTAGATGTTTCTTGCTTAGACGATGTTCAAAGAAATTGTAAAATTGCATGAATTTTTTTCCCATATGCTTTTGTAAACTTACACCTGAAACTTACTTCAGCACTACTATATTCGGCATATTCAGAGATCTAACCTCTTACAAGCAGTTTTATTTCACTATTAGGTTCCACTCCTTAAAAATACTTGAAAAAATTGAATCTGTTATTTTGAAGCTTGATTTATTTAAAGGAGGCAGTACAAGAGTGACAAAGTAAAATCTTGCCGAGAAACTAGTATTGAACATGTAAGGTTGCTGAAAGCTTTATGATTCACCGCAAAGCATTGACAAATTAATTAACTCAAACTGGCAGAGGATTGAAATGCAAAAGTTTCTATTTCATTTGAAGCCGCCTGCTAAACGTGTCGTTGTAAATTTTGCTGAACGATCAATAGTCTCAGCAAATCTTTATACAAACCAGGCAAAAACGTCAACAATACTCACGCAAAAGTCTCAGAAATTCAGAATTAAGAATTTTCAAAAACCATCAATTCTTGATTGAATTGTGAAAT